GAGAGAGAGAGAGGTGTCGGTACGCCGGCGCCGTTCGCGTCAGCAACCACGAGCTTACGCAGGCAAGTAGAACGACGAAGGGTGGTGGACATAGTCCCGCATTCGTCGTTCCCGCACCGCGACACGTACATACTTGACGACAAAGAAACGACGCAAGAAACTCTTTCTCCCTTCCTCGATCACAAAAGATTCGTACAGCCGCGTTTCTTCTTCGTAACGAACGTTCGTTACAAAACGAGTTGAAATTGAGAAAATGCTGATAAAACGGGAATGAAGAAAACGGGAACGAAGGAAGCAAAATTACGACGAACAACTGTATTTAATTACGGTTCGAGAAACGCGTGTTTACAAAACTCGCTCCGTCCCCTCTCCCTCTTTCCCAACGCGGGGATTCCTCCCCTTTAAATCCCTCGAACACACTTTCGAAACGCTGTTCATCGCGAAGGGAGATGAGCGCGCGCGCCTCGTCTACGTCACGCCGGTCTACGTCACTGGAGAACCTCGGAGCGGAGGGGGCAGTGTGGGACGGTTGGGAGGGAGGGAGGGAAGGTGTTAGGGAGGGGAGAGCGGCGAGCGTGGATGGAGGGGAGCTAGGGGAAGGTAGGAGCGCGCGAAGGGCGGCGTGGTGGGGGCAAAGATGCTTGCGAGCAGTGGCTCGCAGTGACGACGTGCAAGCCGCGTGGTGGGGGTAGCGGCGCGTGTGTACGTACACACACACGCGGCCGGCTATATACGCGGCACGGACACAGCCGCGCGTTGATAGGGGACCGCAGAGCGGGGATTGGCTGGCAGTCGACTCGCCGCTTCCAAATATGGGACAGTCTCCGCGGTCCATTCATAAAACTACGGGGCGCGCCGTCGCTCGGCTCAGTTCGTGCGCGACCCCCACGCATCGCGCGTCCTCCGGCAATACGAGCGCGCGATCTGCTTCCTCCGACACGCACACCTAAACCGCGGAGAGGTATCTCTCTATACCGAGGCGCACGATAAACTATACACGAAGGAGATAGAAAGAGAGACGACGGAAAGAGGCGAGAGAGAGAGAGAGAGAGAGAGAGAGCGAGTGAGGAGGCGGTGAAGAAAGGAAGGGACGGAGGACTCACGGAACGACAAATAGGCGCGCGGTCGCGCGCGCCTGCACCTACGCGACGACACGCGCGCGCGCGCGCGCGCGCGAGATCATCGTCGCGTACACACCAGGATCCGCGAGTGAAAGAAGCACGCCAGCGTCTTTGATATAATTACGAACGCGGAGAGCTCGGAGAACCGGTATCTCGAGAACGTCTCTCGAGCGAAAAAAAGAAAGAAAGAAAAGAAAAGAAACGAAAGAAAGAAAGAAAGAAAGAAAGAAAGAAAGAAAAGAAAAACGGCGCGGAAGAGGGTGATTATCGACGCGATTTGGAAGAGGAGGCACCGGTACCTCCGCGTTTCATCCCTCGACGCCGGCTCGGATCCGCATAGCCGCGTGTCCTCGTCGGTTGGGTGGCGCGCGGGCGCGCTCGAGGGAAAAAAAAACTTTGGCCAAGTTTGATCCGTGGTGCGATCGGGAGGATCGGCCGCGATCCGGTGATATTGGATTTTTCGAGAGTCCGCGCGTATAACTGGGTGGTGGTTGGTGGTAGTGGTTTGTGGTTGGTGGTGGTTGTGCGCGCGCGGTGGTGTGTAGTATCCAGCCGCGGCGGCGACGGATCGCAGGCGTGCGCGCTCGCTCGCGAGAAAGAGAGTGGGATCTCGGAGGTGGAAGAGAGAGGGAAAGAAAAGGAAGGACAGAGAGGCGAGCGATCGAGACACGGTTTTTGCCGCCCGGCGTCCGCTCCCTCGTGTGTATACCTCGCTGAGAAAGAGAGACTCGGCGCGTGCCGCGAGACGGATAAAAAAGGGGGAGCGCGTGCTACGTCCGCTTGACTACTAACCCAGTGACTCGAGCTATACAGGAGGGAAGGAAGGACAGATATACGACCGATCCGAACGGACTTGACGTTTCTCTTCAACTCTCGTGTTCGAACGGAGTTCGCATCCCACTGTGGTGTCTTCCCACCACCCGTCTCAACGCTGATCGGTGTTTTCGTTTTGCACGGAGAACGCGAACCAAGGATAATAATAATAATAATAATAATAATAATAACGCTGTTGTTTAGACCGATACTAAAAAAAAATAATAATAATAATAATAAAAATAGAAATAAGAAATAAGAAATAGAAAGATAAGAAAGGACGGCGGATCCTAAAGGCTAACCCGTGGTAGAGCTTGTATACCGGTGGGAGAGAGAAAGAGGCTTAACTGTGTCGGGGCGACCGAGGAAGGACAACATTTTAACCATAATAATAGCGTTGAACGATACAACCGCAGGCGAGGACACGCAGTGCGGTACCGAGGAGATTGTCGCCGCCAGCCAGGGAGGCGACCAACTCCAGAGGATGACGATGGACGGCATGGAAGTGGTGGGCTCGCAACCCCACGCGGCCACCAGCCCGTTCTTGCTCTCACCGCCACCCCTTGGACATCACCATCATCATCATCATCATCATCATCCCCACGCCACCTTCAACCTGCAAACGGTTCAACTGAGTTTCGACGCGTGTCTACCGTACAACTCGGCGACATCCTCGAATTCGATCGTATGCGGCGTTGGCGGCACGTCGACACCGGCCGCCACCACTTGCACCTCCTCGTCCACGAGTTGCAACAAGACGATACCGACCCTGTCGCTTGCCCCTTGCGCGCCATTGCAAGCCCAGCATCAAAACAGTGCCGACACCACGGATCATCATGGCCGGCATCATCAACACCACCATCAACGGCTCAACGATCACCAACATCACCGGCACGTCGACGCTTCCTCGCCTTCCACCGACTCGACCACCGACGGGAAACGACGTTTGCAGTCCGTCAACGAGGAGAAGGACTGCTCCAGGGAGTGCAGAGACGATCTTCAGGAGTCTAACGATAAGGATAAAACAGGTGACCTAAACACGCCGGTTACCACCAGCAGCGATTTACCGTCCTTCTTCGGCCCCTCCGCGCTCGTCGAGCCACCTCCTATTTCAGGTACCTACAATCAACAGTCCTTTAAAACAAAAAAAAAAAAAAAAAAAAAAAAAAAAAATTAACAAATCGCTCTTCTTCGATTCGATAAGCGACGATAACTTGTTTCCTTCTTAACTCGAATGTTATCCAATATTTTCGAATAGCGTACCTTCCTCTCGTATTGATGGAAATAATTTTTGTTTTTGCGTACACACGATCGACGAGATCGAAGCGAAAAACCGTGAATCAGAAATTAGAAAAGAAAAATTCGGGAAAAAACGGCGCGCGAGACACGTGAAAATAAACTACGCTCGCGCATCGAAGCGCGTAGTAGAATCTGGTGCTGTTCGAACTCTAACGGCCTTGCACTTGCTACGTTTCACGAACGTCCCAACTTTCGCTTTCCGCACATCTGCCAACTCCTGCTGCTGCTGCTACCCTCGTGGCTGCGCCCCGTCTACCCCTCTCGAAAATGCGGCTTTCCTGCATCCAATTTCCGTTTCGAGTCGCGGCCAAGTGCACGACGTGCCGGTGTGTGACGTATATCGGTTGGCTCTCGCGAAAACGGCTAATATCGAACCTGCCCGCCTGTCGCGGATCAATACTCGGCGACCCCGACATTCAGAAACCCTCTCCCTCCCTCCCCCCTCCCTCCGCATCCCCCCTGCATCACCACCGCCTCCACCTCCGCCTTCACCTCTGCTGCCTCCCACCACCCCTTCGCCAGTTCATTCATGCTTCCAACAGCCCCCACCTCGTTCATCCGGACCGATACAACTACCACCCCTCGTCGTCACGCCGGTAGTCGTCTTTTCCGCGACTTTCTCGCCGACTCTCGAGCGGACCGAGCATCCCCTTTGCATCGCTCCTCTTGTATCGCGTATCGTCCCTCCCTCCCTCCCTCCCTCTCTCCACTCCTCCACCCTCCACTTATCCATCCGTGGAGGATCTACCACGGAAGGATCGAGATCGGTCGATACGTCCGTCCATTCGACGTCCGCGCGTTCCACGCGAAACAGATGGTCCAGCACCGCGGGCGGACGATCTTCGATCCTCGTTGAATCGAGTCGGGAACCGGATGACCGCGGATTTTTCTCACTACTGGGAATCTGCCGATTTCATTTTCGGTGGGAAGCTACTACGTACGCGATTGTGCGCGCACGAAGGAAGGAAGTAACGGGACGACAGGATGTAGACGGCAGATAGAGAGCAGAGGCTCTCGCCTCGTCGTCGGATAGATAACGTCATCCCCGCTATCGCGCGCTCCTTCCTGTTGATTCGCGTGCTTAGGGTCGCGGGATGCACGCGTACACCACCGTCCAACAACCGTCCAACAACGTCCCGACTCGTGCGCGCGACCTGTTGTCCTGTTGTCTTCGCGCACGCACGCATACCAACACACACACACGCACACACACCTTTCGTGACTGATCGAGAATTTAATGGATGATTTGTAGGCAGCCTGGCGGGCGAGGACCTATCCCTGGAAGAGGCGACCGCGGAGGACGATGAAACGGGTACCTCGGCGGGCAGGGATCATCGACACCATCATCACCAAGAGTCTCAGGATCAAGGGACGCCTGGCGCCCCTCCCTCCGCTAGTCCACCGCGTCACCATCAGCCCCAAGACGACGCGGATCGTTGCAACGTGTTGCAAGGCGGCGTGATCCTCTACTCGCCCCATTCCACCTCCTCGGTGTCCTCGGCACCCCCTTCGAGCGTCAACATCTGCAACGTGCCCACGTTGACCTATCACGGCGTGTTTACGACCACCTGCACCCAATCCTCGCCCCTCAACGCTCAAAATCAACAGCAACCGCCCCAACAGCAGCAGCAGCAGCAACAACCGACCAGCCAGGAGCTCTGGGGTCCGTTGACCTCCCCTACTTTGACCTTGACGAATCCACCGTTCCTCCACTCGGCGCTTCACTCGGCCCCGTACGGTGGCGAGACCGTCGAACTTCTGCCCGTCGAGTCGAAGCCACCCCCGCCACCAGGTTACCATGACACGCCGGCCACGACCCAGGCCGCGTGGCTAACCACGCACGAGGATCCTTATGATCCGAATCTCCTGTCCCACCATCATCCCCACCACCACCGTCAAGAGGCTACGTTGAAGCAAGAGCCTACAGGGGCGGCGAGCGGTTACGGCCGGCCGTTCAACAGCAGCAACAACAGCAGCAGCAACCCCAGCCGAGCCAACAGCAGCAGCAGCAGCAACAACAACAACCACCACCACCCTCGGCAGGTACGACGGGCGTCCAGCTGGCCGAGTACAATCCGAGCACGTCGAAGGGGCACGAGATTCTGTCGCAAGTTTACCAGCAGAGCCCTCTGCCGCTCAGGCTGGTCCCGGTGAAGCCGCGCAAGTATCCGAATCGACCGAGCAAAACGCCGGTGCACGAGCGGCCGTACGCTTGCCCGGTGGACGGCTGCGACCGCAGGTTCTCCCGCAGCGACGAGCTCACCCGGCACATCCGTATCCACACCGGCCAGAAACCGTTCCAGTGTCGCATCTGCATGCGCTCGTTCTCGAGGAGCGACCATCTCACCACCCACGTGAGAACGCACACAGGCGAGAAGCCGTTCTGCTGTGATCAATGCGGCCGAAAGTTCGCGAGGAGCGACGAGAAGAAGCGGCACGCCAAAGTCCACTTGAAGCAGAGGTTGAAGCGCGAGGCCACCCACGCCTCCGCCAGAAATCACCCCCAGAGCCACGCTTCGCCTCCTTGCAACCAGTAATCGTCGTCGTCGTCGTCGTCGTCGTCGAGGATTCGCGGATACTTTCGCCGATACCGTCGATCTTCACTCAGCTCATTCCTTGAAAACCAGTCGGTACTCGCACCGCGACGCTGCTTTCACATCTTGCCGGGCGACGAGGAAACGACGGAGACCTTTAGGCGGAAGACACACGGGCTGCCGTCACCGACTGATCCGTCATCGATCGTCTCTGGCACTCAAGCGATCGCCGAGTAACCATCACCGTCACCACCACCTCTGACGATTGGCCTCAAATCGGTCAAATCGAGACGGCATTTTCGACGGTATATATATATATATATATATATATTATATGTAACGACGCGTGATACCGAGATTAGTCTCGGATAGTAGTACGTAAGAAGTTCACTAATCGCGAAGGATTTTCGTAAAATCCTTGTAAATAATTGTGGATATAATTTTTAACCGGGATAACACGTATCATATACATATATATCTATATATATATGTGTGTGAAAACGACGCGTCCGTGCAACGGTGTCGTCGTTCCCTACGAAGGGTTGCTCGCGTTCCAGAGAATCTTTCTTGTGTGATCTCCTCTCTTCCGTTAGGGAATGATCGACCGGCGAACGCGAAATCGGGCGGTATTATACGTCGCCTCTACTCTCACGTTTTTTCCTTCTCCATCTTATTACGTCTCGTTTCTTTCTCTCCCGCCTCCTATTTTGCCTAAGGTAATAGCGTTACACGAGAGAGAGAGAGAGAGAGAGAGAGAGATGGACTAGTTGCATTTAGCTTGGAGGAACGAACACGGGCGAAAATTCTAGCTTTATCGAGGTAGCGTAAGGTACTGTTAGGTTGTTTTCTCGGCGAAGACGGTCGGTATCAGTCCTCGACAACGGTGATGTTTTTAGCGGTAAACGGGAAGAACGGGAGAGAAAGGGAGACAGAGGACGAAGGCGAGGAGAGGATATTTGAAGCGAGGCGACGCGTTGGAGATTGTTATTTACGGCGGTCGCGTTTTATGCCTCTGTTTGCGATCGGGAACGAGATGCAGATGCGAAAATCGGCGTTAACCGAGAGAGCCGCGTAGATACACGCGCGAAATACGCCCGGTGTCACGAAATATTCTCGAACGAATCACGGTAGAATATCGATACCGCCCGCAGCTTCCGGGAATCGGACAGGAATTCGCCGAAGGAGAAGGAGAGAGAGCGCGAGAAGCGAGAAAGAACGAAACGGCGCATGCAAACGAGCGCGTGAGAAGAAAAGAGAAGAGAAGAAAAAGAAGAAAAAAAAAAAGAAAAGAAAAAAATTCCCGAGCGCGCTTCTTGAGACGATCACGGGAGGGAATCGCGGGTATCATCGACGAATTTTTCCAACTGACTCTCTCATCGATCGAAACCGGTCGATGTCTCTCCATTCTTTTACCCGAGTACAATTTTTTCGATCCGATTCCAGACGCGTTTTGAACAAACGTCGACGTTGTATGTATTTTCTAACTTCTATTTTTATAAATCGTGACACGAAAAGATGAGAAAAGTGTAGTTCGATATCGCTCGCGTATAGATGAGAGAGTCGTTAATTATTATCCGCGTAACCCACCCTGACTCGTTGCAAGATGCGATCGACACCGACGGACGATCGATATACACACACACACACACACGGAGACACACATATACACACATACTACTTTGCGTCCTCGAACCTTGTGTCTTTCAATCATACAATCGAAATAATCGCTTCTTAGAGTTATTTGTTATCGTCCTCTACCTCTGAAACTCGTTCACTCGTTCCTACCATCCACCTTTCGTGCTCCGGACACGCTAAATCTCGGACTTTTACCGTGTCCTCCTTGCCACCACCTCACCTTCCCTTGCCACCACCCCACCTTCCCTTGCCACTCCTCCACGTATCCCTCGCCGCCGTAGAACTCACACCACCACGTAGGGCATCCCACCTCCTCCCCCTCCCCTCCCCCCGCTTCTCAGAAGTCCCAACCCTCATCGCGTATTCCCGTGAATTAACCCCCATTTAACCGCCAGTAAACCCCACGAGTAAACTATGTAATTAGTTAGCGATTATATCGTTGTTGAACCGGGAGTTTTTCCTTTGTAAATATGTATATAACGTGTTATACATATTGTACACATGTGTAAGTTACGTCTAATCGTGGTGAGACGAACGGCAGACGGAAAAACAGAAGAGAAAGAGAGAAACCCCCCTCAAATCTTTCACTTTCCTCCTTTTAATCTTGCCGCCCTACTTTCCCTCCACCTCCTCCTCCTCCTCCTCCTCGTCGCCCCTCCCCGCCCCCCTTCTCAATCGCGACCGTTTACCTGTATAAAATATTGAGTTTAGCCGCGATTAATATTATGTATATGTTGCTCTATTTATTAACAAAATGAAAATCTCTCTCTCCTATATATATATGTATCTATAATATATATATATATATAAAATGATATATATAATAGTTATATATATTTATATATAAAACGAGGAGATTATATATATATATATATATTGTTAAAATTAAGGATTATTTTTATTATGATTATTATATTATAATTATATTATAATAACAAAAAATACTATAATTAATGAAACGCGCGATAATTGCGTACAGCTTATGGATCCCAAGCGTTCTGGATTACGCGCTCTGTACCTACCTATCTACTCGACGATGGTTGCACCGGCGCGTGTGCGATATTATCCGCTATTGTTCTAGATAGATCGGAAAATATGTAGGCAGAGGAGCGTATACGCGCGCGCACGCGCGTTCTCGTGAAATAAAAAGCAGAGAGAAAGGGAAAAAAGGAAGAGAGAGAGAGAGAGAGAGAGAGAGAGAGAGAGAGAAGAGAGAGAGAAGAAAGAAGAAGA